GGTAAACCCAGCCGCCTCAATGTATTACAGGCCACCAAGACTGGATCCAACAGGTCCGGACGCAGTCTGGCCCGGTCACTAAGCAGCGGGAGGCTTAGAAGCTGCTTAACATGTTCGTCCGCAATTCGCCGGACGTTGGCGTATCTTCTGGCTAGGAGGTCCCGAGCAGTCTGGTAGGCGTCGTCCGACAATCTCAAGTGGCCGACGACGCCCAGGGCCTCCCCCTCCAGTGAGGCCAGGAGGGGCACCATCTTTTGGCTCGGGGTCAAGTCACTCCGGGCGTCCACTAGGCTGTCGAAAAGACCAACGAAGGTCAGCCATTCGGAAAGGACCCCGGAGAACTTTGGCAGGTCCAGAGTTGGGAGTCGTCCCAACAGCTCCGGCTGAAGCTGCTTCAGAGAGGACTCGGACAGGTCACTCATCCGAGCTTCACGCGCCTTCTCGGCATACCTGCCTTCAGCCTCGATCAACTCGTCCGTGAGCCACAAGAACTGCTCATAGTCCGCGAAGCAGGAGTCCAGGACTCCCTTCTCCACATCCGAATCCTCGAGCTCAGCGTAAGCCTCCTCCACTGCGGCCCTTCGAGCATCCACCTGCTCGAACCGCTTCATCAAGTTATGGACACTATCCGGTCGACCTATCAAAGCATGGGCGCTTTTGGCCCAACGTAGCTCAGTCCGCAAACAACGAATCAGTAGCTTGGGCGATGTCATCACTATTAAATGCAAATTACGACGCGGCTTGAGCACAGATTACAAAGATAACAAACAAAAAATACAACAAAAATTAACAGTTAATAAATGCAGTTCCTATCAAATCGCGTTGAATAGAAATTACACAAATACGAATTGCTACGTATCAACCAAATACAAGTTAGCACAAAAGAAAAGACACAAATCAAATTAACAAATAACAAATACTAGTGCGATCAAATCAAGTTAAATTCAAATTGCGCAAATACAATTACTACTCTTTAGTTCAAATACAACTTACAGTATAAACGAAGATACACATCACGGTCGATCAACAAAAAATGCCTAGCTCGGAAATCGACCCTTCGATAAGTAATCCACTACAACTATCCGACAACGATAATTAACCGATTACGTAAAAATAACCATCTACCCACATGACGTATATCTCTAGAAAACTCCCGCTTGCGCAACCTAGGGCGCGGCTTTTCAAATCTACCCACTAACCAAAAAAAGGCAAGCAACAAAGAACAAAGGGAAATAATTCTATTATTACGTACAAAAAATATTTTTACGTATTACGGACGGGCGTGATTGTAGGTACAAATTAAACCAATCACACCAACGCTCCCTGCCACCAAAATTGTTTAATGTTTATCTAGCACTATGGTCGGGATCGACCGGGAATCGAACCCGGAACCACGCTCTGCTACCAGTTTGTTACGGCCTACGGCTGCTCCCTTAAAGGATCCAATCCTCAGGGGCCCATGAGCTGAAGATTTCCCGAACAGACGTAGGTCGGGCCCCAATGTGGCCACGTGGAATCTCTCCAATTACACTAAAATATATGGGGGAGCGCTATACTACGGCCAGTCGACCGGAAGGAATTTGGACGAAGCTTACTTACCTATATCCAAGGCGACTGGTCCCTCCGGAGTCGGTCAGGTCGCATGTGGTTGTGTAGTGCAAGGGAAAGAATGGTGATGTGGTGTGTATCTGGGTGTGACTGATGGTGATTGAACCTAGACCTTGGCCGTCGGCAGCAGCCCGAGCGTCGACACCGCTCCACTTGAGGGGGCCTTTCGAGGTTATCCACAGTCACTTTCTTCTTTCGTCACGTTGACAGTCAATTAACTCTATCGTACGATTTACTAACTTACAGAAGCCACTACCTATCGCTGGTTATAAGGTTAACACACAAAACGCACACGGAGTTTACAGTTTATTAAAGGTCACTACCGTATCGCGTCGCAAGAGTTAGTTCTAGAATATTATAGGCCGCACTAGCTAATATTGCCTAATGCAGTTATACAGATTCTGAGTCGGACTCAATAAGTCCCGGGAAGCTCTCTAGCAGGAATGCGCGTCACAAAATCCGAGACCGTATATTTACGGGCCGCACCTAATTATTCCGAGTTCCCTAACAGAATTGACCGCGTGCTCACGTCAGCACCGCTTACGGACGACTGAATGCCCTTGGGTGTTTTTCGCACGACTGAAAGTCAAACCGGTATGAATGCACCGAGCCGAACGCCCTCTCACGTCAATCCTTGAAAGTGTTTTGCGCGAACAGTATGATTACCACTGGTTCGAAAAAAGAAATCTCTGTCCTGGAAGGAACCAGCAAGAAACCCAACGGGACATTTTTTTAAATAACAGCTTACAATCATGTATGTTACACAAATTAATAACACAACAAATTAGAAATAACTTGGTAGTGATCACCTCATTTCCAGGGGTTATTATCATCTATAAATTCATTAATATTATAATAACCCTTTTTATACAAACTTAGTTTAATAAAGTTTTTGAACTTTGAGCAGGTCAAATTTTGTATATTTTCTGGAATTTTGTTGTAAAAGCGTAGACATCGCCCCAAGAATGAATTACTGACTCGATGGAGTCGAGTAACTGGTACTACTAGCTTGTGTCTGTTCCTAGTATTTACAGAATGAATATCACTTATTTTTGTAAAACTACTTTTATTTTTGTGTACGTACATTACATTTTCATAAATGTATTGAGAGGCCAAAGTTAATATATTAATTTCCTTAAATTTTTGTCGCAGCGACTCTTTAGGCTTTAAATCATAAATTGCTCTTATGGCCCTCTTCTGTAAAACAAATATAATTTCAGTGTCAGCTGCGTGTCCCCATAGCAAAATACCATACGACATTATGCTATGGAAATAGCTAAAGTAAACTAGTATAGCTGTTTCAACACTAGTTAGACTTCTAATGTTTTTTACGGCATATGCTGCAGAACTAAGTCTGCTTGCTAGTTTTGATATATGGGGGCTCCATTGAAGCTTAGCGTCTAGTGTGATTCCAAGAAAAATGGTGGTATCTACAAGACTCAGTTTCTCCCCATTTAAAATTACATTAGTATTGAATTGTTTGACATTTGAAGTCATAAATTTCATACATTTCGTTTTAGTGCCATTTAAATGCAAATTATTAACATTGAACTAATTTACTAATTTAGATATAGCATTATTTACTTCGTCATATTTTAGCAATTGTCGACTTAATTTGAATATTAAAGAAGTGTCATCTGCAAATAATAATGGTTATCTCCTACTATGTAAGGTAAGTCATTAATGTATACAAGAAACAGAAAGGGGCCGAGAATTGAGCCTTGAGGCACGCCCATTTGTACCATCGACCCGGAAGAACTCTTACTGTTAATGACAACTTTTTGCGTTCTCTTACTTAAATATGAAATAATTAATTTAAGAGCATCACTTCTTACACCGTAGTGTTGTAGTTTCCTGATTAATGTTTCATGGTGAACACAATCGAAGGCTTTGGATAGGTCACAAACTCACAAAATATACCCAAACCATCCTGTGAGTTCTCCCATGCATTAAATATATATTTAATCAGCATCCGGCATCAGTTGTCGAGCGACCCCTTGTGAAACCAAATTGATTTTTATGAAGTAAATTATTTATATTAAAGAAATTTAACATTTGATCAAGAATATTTTTTTCAAAAATCTTACTAAGTGTTGGTAGTACAGAAATAGGTCTAAAATTGGCGGGGTCTAATGTACTACCAGATTTAAATAAAGGTATTTCTTTACTATGCTTCATTAAATCAGGAAACACATCAGATTCGATACTAGTATTAAAAATTAAAATCGATAAATTTTTCATTAATCAGTATAATAATTAACATGAAAGAAAAAATGTAATGTATTTTTGACACTTCCCTACATATGGCCAGATGTGTACAGATAGTTTCTGTTTAGGCCAAACAATTAACTTTTGAAATTTGCATTCGCACTCGTTCCGCCCGCCGACTTGTAAAGGTCACCTTGGCCCCACTTCCGTGCGTCGTCGGGTAGAAGGGCGCGAGGTCAGAACTTGAGTGCAACAGAGTTGCTATAATACAGTGCTATCGAGAGCACGTTTTAAAGTCGCCCGGGAAACCACCATTTTTTTGGAGTCGGTTTTGTTAGCAGATGTTGGTTTTTCTAATTTGCAGGCATATAAGTGCATTTGAAAATATTAATTTGCTCGAGTGGCCTTTGCTATATTTCGGATACGTTTTCGGTATTAGAGGTGTGTTACGCTTTAGTTTAGTGTTAGTGGCATCTGGAAGTATAGTTAATAGACTGTCCTGGTGAAGAAGGAAGAAAGTGACGGTGGGTGACGCCGCGGGAGATTACCACAATTTGGAGCGGTGCCGAAGTCCGGGCTGCTGCCGACTTCGAAGGTCCCGGCAGGTCTATCACCACTAACACCACAAATCACCACTAAACTCAACACATACACACCTACGGCCTGACCGAGCCCTGAGACAGCAGTCGCCTCACATACAGGTAAGTAATATCTATTTGATTAGCCTCCCCTTTAATTGTAGTAGGATACAACATTTTCCATGTAGTTTATTGTGATAGAATAATTCTCCATAGGCATTTTGAGCCCCACCCTTAGTTGTCCGTCGAATCTACAGCTGTATGGGCCCCTGTATGGTCGACATTTGTCGGGGCAACTAGGGGCGTGTACAGTTTCTATTTTCAAAACTTTTAATGCTAGTGTTCGTTATATTTTAATTAAAAATATTCACCAAGAATTTATTTTAGATGTTATTGTAGATTTTTATTCCCATCATTTTTAGTTAAATCATAGGCAAACTTTAACTTCGTTTTTCAAAATGCGGCCCGGAGCTATGGCCTGAATTTAAGATATATTGTATAGTGTGGTTGTCAAACGCATGCCAGTGTGATAATTCCTGGTCATGGAGGTGGGTATTTAAAAAAAATGGCAACCAAGTTTATGGGATTAATAAAATCAAAACTTACCATATGTGAGTTAGACGGGTCTATATGCGGTGGCGCTAGTTCTATGGAAGCGCATTTGTTGCTCGATTTCTTTTTCCTAAGACCGAACTTGCGGCGATCTTTCTTAACGTTGGGAGAAGCGCCCTCTATTGAAACCTGATAGAAATTTATTAATTATTGACCAACGTCATAAGAATAAATTAACTTAATATAGAAATGTAACGAAGGTTCGTAGTACATTAACTTTAGGCGTTAATGTGTCAATCAAAATCCTATGCTCACGCTTGGCATAATGTAATATAAAACACCAAACTTTTTTATAGAATTGGGGGCAAACGAGCATACGGCACTCGTGATGATAAGTGACCAACGCCACACATGAACAACTGCAACACCAGGGGAATTGCAGGAAAGTTGCCGGGCTCTTAAATAGGAGTAGACTCTTGTCTTATCCGACTAATAATTTATTTCTACTTTATGTATATCTATCGTACAACTCACAAATAGTTGGGGGATTTGAACGCTCGATTCGATTAAGACCTTTCGAGATCGCCATCCGTACCCATTAGGCTACTGTCGCTTATCTAAAATAAAATTCTATTTTATACATTTCAAAACTTACGTCAGTGTCGTGGTGGACCTGCTGTTGCATTTCAAGCGCGTCGAGCAACCGCTGCAACTGCTGGACGGAGAGCTGGGCCTGGCCCAGTTCTCGCGACGCATTCTCTAGAGGACCACCAGAATCTGCGCAAAGAATATCGATTTTATATGAAAACTGTAGTGCCAGAGTCAGTGTCTTGTGGGTATTTGTAAATGGTTTTCTGGTATTAGACAATAGTAAATATACACTCGATCGGTTGATTCGTTCTAAGGATATTGCGTACTACAAAATTTCATTTACATACATACATACATTTACACACACACACACACACACACACACACACACACACACACACACGGATAATTTTCAAAGCGAGAAGTTAAAAAATGTCCTCCAGGCCGCACTCCCGTCACGGTGGTCAGTCTAAACGGAAACTATTCATCTGGACGGAGTGTGTGTGCAAGCACAGGTGCACTCTCTATTCCTCTAGTGTCATAGTCCGATGGGATGGTTCCGACACAACCGGAGAGAGATCAGGCGCAGGACCAACGGCTTTACGTGCTTTCCGAGGCACGTAAAACACCACCAACTTCCTGACTCCGGGCTGCTACTGAGAATTGACAGAAAAACTCAATAACTGATTTTAGCCCGGCCTGACATTCGAAACCAAGACCAACAAGGCAGTCAAATCCGTGCAGCGTCATAGGTATGCGATGGTATTATGATTGCCAATACATTATGACATTGTTGTTGATTATGATATTTTTTTACTACCAAGGGTTGGCTCCATGTCCAGCTATGAATGTAGTAAGTCTTCGAAGGTGGTACATTAACGGTCTTTTCCGAGGGTAGTAAATTACGAGAGAGCGATTGAAATTTTAAGCTTTCAAATAAAAAGAAAAATCAAGAGACTATTTTTAGACTGTTGGCTAAAAAGTACTTCTGCTTGGTTTTACAGATTAAGTGCGAAGAAAGCATTTGTTACGACAGACTTATCTTTATAATTATCCTTCTTTCAATGCTATCACCATATAATTTTTCTTTATTCGCATTATTTTGGACATATTCGTTAAACGAAATATTCAAATGCATTTTTATTGAAATCAGCTTACAAAATATCTCCCTTGATATCCGTAGTGGAAATCTTTGATGATGTGATCAAATAAATAAATAAAATATAACATGTGCATTTAAAATTTGATAATATAACACGAACATCAAGCACTAAAAACAATAATAAATACATGCCATTCACAAAAACTGAATTAGTGTTATTACCAATGTTTAAAACTTTTAAGGCAACAGGCAACAAAGTTTTAAGGCAACAGTTAAAGGGTTTTTTTTTTCAAATATATAAATAATCATATACCGTTATTGCATTTTTTGAAAATACGAGTAAATAAGACTTAATTTTATTGGAAATTATCCCAAATTAAATATGATTTATAGGCTACAACTACGCGTACGGGTGCTCCTCCGTGTGCGATTCAATTCACAACGTTTTTGCCGAGCGAACATTACGAATGTAAGCGCGCGTAGTAAAATAGTAGGCGTTAGATAATTATGAATGACAATCAGTTAAAATAATGCATTTCCACGCATTCTGAATTTAAAAGATAAAAATGACTGTTTGATATATTTTTAAAATAATTATTCTTTATTATTCGCCTATATTATTTATACTGAACCTTCTCTGCAAATTTGGGAGTATATTGCAAAATAACCTTATAAAGTCAGTTGTAGATAGCAAAGAAACCCGTGTCTACAGATTTACTAAAAAAATTTGTTAAATATTTATACATAATCATATATTAGTGTATTAATTCATTAAAGCAAAAATTATTATTTGACTGCAGTTGATAGTAAAATTTAAAGGGTTGCGTAACAATCACGATCGATACAATTTATTTAACGGTAAAGACTAAACCACAGTCAAGAATTAAATAATAGTTATCTGTGTGAAATTCTAGCTTTAATCAATTAACTCATTACACACGTAGCTAAATATAAGTGGACCGAATTCATAAGCATACCTATTATCCAACCAGCCAAACGGCCACCAGGCGTTCCAGATACAAAGCCGGCCTGCGGGCCTCGTAGTCTTGCACCCGTCGGGCTAACTAGCCCTGAAAGTTATAGGGATGAGGTTGACAATGGCGGTGTATTGTGCAATTTATTTGGTTCAACATTGATGTTTTTGTAACGAACTAAATAATTAAAATTTACATATTAAATATAGTTTAGAAAGATTAGAGCTGTGAAAAAAAAATAGTAAACAGTTTGAAGAGTTTGTCGTGGTAGAGCTAATAGCTTTACGTGGTAGAGCCATGCTGCAGCTATATTAGTGGTATAGTTGTAGCACAAATGGGTCGGCTCGACCGGGGAAGGACCACGCTCTCACAGAAAACCAGCGTAAAATAGCAGCTTAACGCTGCTGTATTTCGTATGGTGAGTGTAGAGAACCGGAGACCCTTTTTACTGGCAAAGAGGCATTCCATCTTAGTCCTCACGGGTGACAACGCATTTGCATCTTGAGTCTTTATTGAGGATAGATGTAGATGTCTATGGGTCACAGTAACCACTTACCATCAGGTGGACTGTGTGTTCGTTTGTCACCCTATACTATAAAAAGTAAAATTATGTAAGGTAAATATGTATGAGGATATGGGCAAGCAATATAAAAATACACAATGTAAGACCTTTACAAAATACCTAATTGTCTTATGAATTCACCGCCAATGTCCATAAAGCAATCTGAGCATTATGAGATGTGTAACAACAATAAATTATGAAATTAATGGAATATTCAGTCTCAGGATAATCAAATTGCTTCAGAAGGCAAAACATATGAGGTAAATCTATATATAACACTACTATACATTTTAGAATAAACTATACTAATCTAAACGTGGATACGACAAATGGATAGTCAAAAACTACCAGATTCCAAATAAGCTATTTAAACTAATGATCCTTCCTACTGCAACTAATTTGAATAATAAAGAGCTAAGAAATAATAACCTGTTTTTTTCAAACGAAAATTTAAGTAACTAAATAATAATATTAAGTAGCTAATACTTTTAAAATGGGATGTAAAGTTAATTTACTTTTATTGTGTAGTATAAATATATCTAAGGAAAACCATGTCCGATCCGAAAGGTGCACATAGGTACCGTAATAATATTACTTAAAAATTAAAACATCATATTATTAATGAATATTTATTAATGTTATTTAAATTTATTTTGTTACAATTTGTTTAAAACTAAGCAAATTTTTATAATAGCTGGCTACACCGTTGTCGACGACGGTATCTTTGAACGTGCAGCGGTATCGTTACCCGACAACCGCTCGTACCGCATGAAAGTTTCCCAATTGAATTAAATTTTATTCTATATTTGGGGATATTTTTTATTTATTCTCTGAAGAGGATTACATGAACAGAATCATACCACGATACCTAAAAGCTGTCTCCCGCATCGAACTGTGTTTGTTTTATATATTGAATATTTTAAAATCTCAAATAAAAAGTTTTAAAAATTAACTTCTGTCTACGTACAAATGAATTGCTAACCAGAACACAATAATCGATCGCTGGAACAACGATACAGTGTTTTCAATTCGCCACTACTTCCCAAGTGTGCTGTAGATTCGATTAAAGAACTCGACCTTTTCAATTTAAATCTATTACTTAAAAATAATTCACGGATTTTGTACTTTTTTGATATTTGGTCTACTAAAATTAAGTTATTTTTCATTTGAGTTTGTTTTGACATTTTCAAAGGTATCGGCGTAAGTTGTTTGATTGAGTTTTTTCCATTTTTTACTAAACTCTCTCTACCTTGTTTAGTGTTTCTAGCTGCAGATTTCTTTTCTAATATCACTGGTATTCTTGTTATATTATTGTATCTATAATTGTGAGGTTTATTGGAATTGTTAATAGCGAAATTTCTTGTACACTTTTGTATATACCAACTTTGATTTGAAACGGCTTGATTTATTTTGTTAGATATTACAGAATCATCGTTCGATTCTTTTATTTTAGACATAACAACATGTTTTCCTTTCTGCACTCCTAAATTAAGTGGTTCTCTTATAGGTAATCGAGTGGTTTTTGATGCGTTACAAAAGCTTCTGTGGTTCATCAGGAGTGTAATAAAATCAATTGTATTAGTTTCAGCGTTAGTTTTTAAGGGTATATTTATTGGTTCTTTTATATCGATATATCCGTTAAATTGAATACCAACTTCTTTATTTGATATGTCGCGTAAAACAATGTTATTATCCTTTGTAATTTTTTCACATTTCTTTGTCAGCTTCCGATATAAACTATGAATATCCTTGTGTAATGTTGGTAGATGTTTGGAGAATGTGACCAAGTTTTTTAACAAACAAAGTATGAAAGATTCATCGATAATTCTTGGTCCTGCTTCTCCTTGCGATGACAGTCGAGTAGAATCACTATAATGAGTTGAAGCTTTTGGCGTTATTTCCGAAGCCATATCTAAGTTTCTTTTTTCTTTCGAGTGAAAGTTAGTTTGCAAGCACTCTTCCCTCATTGGCATTAAAGCGCAAGTTTGTGGATCATAGACAAAATAAGGGCATTTTATCGAAAGAGGATTATTATCAGAACTATTTTTAACAACTTGAATTGTTGTGTTTCTAGAAAATTCGTTCTTAAAAACTTTACTAAAGCAACTTTTAGACGTTGTTTGACTGCTATGATATGGTTTGACACTAATTATTTCATTTTTATTAATATCACAATCGTAATCCAGATATAAATTATTTTTGTGGTTGGCTACGTGATCAAATACGACCGAATTAAAAATTTGTTCAGAAGACGACTTGTGTATGTTAGTGTTTAAAAACCAAGCATTGTGTACTACATTGCGTTTTTCTGTTAATTCAAACTCAACATCTCTTCTCATCTCACATCTCATCAGTGGAACACCAGTCGTTGAAACATGTTCTAGATTGTATTTAGAAAAAGAAATGACAATATCTCCTTTACTAACTTTGTCAGAATTTACATTAGAACAAATTGTGGCGCACGTTTTTAGTTTGTCTTTATCAAAATTGCAACCATTACCCGATTCAGTAGTTATTTTGTTTAGTACACTGTTTAAATATGTTTGATCCGAATTGTTTGGTGACAGTTTCTGTTTGTTATGGATGTGTTCGTTACAGTCTTTTGTCATCACACCTTGGGATACTCTTTTTTGAACACATTCCCTTAATACTTCACACATAGGTTGAGAACTATGTTCGGTAGTTTTAGAAGTATCAGCAGTTAGAACGCTGGAGTCATCTGTACTCTCATTGGTAAGAATGTTTAAATAAATACTAAAGAATTCCTTGGCTAAATCTGGAGGAAGTGAAGTCTCGCTGAGTAGATGATCTATGGTATTTTGTAATTCTGTTAGTTCAGGTAAAGCATATGGTTTCAAAACTTTTCGCGACTTTTCACCAATGTTATCGATTAAATTTTTAGTTATTTTAATATCTTCTTCTGTTCTTTTAGCAGTGTGTAGATTTTCGCAATATACAGTATTTTTAAGTAATCTTTCTAATTCTTGTACACGTCGTTCTTTGTCAAAACTTTTTCTGTCAGATAACTTTGCTTCCAGTAATTGTGTGACAGGGGCGTTGATTGAAAATCCAGGCTTTTTCTTAGTTATTGTATCACCGATTCCATAAAACTGTGTTTCCTTTGTATAATTTGGAATATATAAGCTAGATGTGTTTTGATCTTGAGTGAAATATTTATTCGATGGTCTGTCTATAGATTTAACTTCTTTGGATATAAGGTCTCGTTTTTCAGTTGAAGTATTTTTTATCCAGTATTCTAGAAGACATTTGAATAGTGCTTTTTCAAGATTTTCATCATTTTTCTCGCAACTAACGTTATACATCTCTTTAACTACCTGACTTATGAAACTTTTCAGTAGTCCACTTTGAATATTATGTGATTTATTGTATTTTTTAACCACGGCCTCTGTAAGTTTTTCTGTCATTTTATCGAAATCAGTTCCAATAAGAGAATCTTGTAGTGATTCAAATTTGTTTACATTAGAAATGATTTCAAGGGGGTTGCTGTTTCTACTTGTATGGAATACTTTTGCAGGCCTGACATCAGAGTGACGTGAAATCTTCAGTTTATATTTCCCAAGCAATACGCATTTGTTAAATGGATGCATTAGAGGTGGTTCATTTATCACGTTTTTATATTTGACCACGTTCGTTGATTTCTTGCTTCGTCTCAAAAAAGGCTGTTTCTTATTGCCACTAAAGGGACGACTTTTATGTGTAAAGCAAAACAAAGTGCGTTCAGTTTGAGTTAAAGTAGTACGTTTTGACTCTTTGTTACACTGTGAAGTCCTTATTTTGTTTTCTTTGTCTTTACTTTTATTTAAAGGTGACAATTTTCTATTCGGAGAATTTAGAGAATATGCACACAGTAATGATTCCAATCCCGTCGAGCCCAGTCTAACGTCCAACTCAGTGCTGTGCATGAGCATTTCTTTATCAACATTGGCTTTTACACTTTTTGATTCATCATTTTGTGTTTTCTCAAATTTATTAGGTTTATTTCTTGTTCTTTCAACACAATTCATAGAGCAAAGACTAGCATGCTTCAATGGCAATTTGTTGGACATTGAATTTACATTATCCTCAAATTGATATTTCAAGGTTTTCAAATCATATTTATTTAAAAATTTACGAGACCAATGTTTTAAAGGAATATTCGCGCAAAGTTTTTTGTAAGAAAATGTGGGAAATAAGCCGGAAGAAGTCCAAGTAGTTTGTGAATCGGTTCGCGTGCTTTCACTTGAACTTAGGGTGGAGGTTTCTGTTCTTGATATGGATTCTGAGATATGCAAAAATAATTACAATTAATAATGAAGAAAAAAAAAACATAAATAAAGTATATATGTTCTATGGCGCTGACAGTTGCCGTTTGAGTTTTGGAGTATAATTCGCCTGTTCAAACTTGCCTTGCCAACTCCACGCTAAGTATTACAGGGCAATTACATTGATTTGTAAGAAAAGTAAGATTGACAATTTTATCCACAATGGAAAATTACAAAAAAAAAAGATGATTTACCAATATTTTTTCTTTTAAATGTAATTAATAACTACTACTTCAATTATAATTAATTAAACGGAACAATAAATTTATTTGAAAACAATAACTGAGCAATCGTTAATCATTAACGCAAGAAATAAAATAATTTTATTTAGAAATCTAAATAGACAGAACGTGGTAAAGAGGTTTTGTTAAAACATTTACAGGCAATCTAAAAACACGCATGCTTATATCTCTTCTAGCGCTTATGGCACATACACATAAAGCGCAAAACATAAAATCAAAAATGGTACTTTCACTTACGTGATGATGTCTCAGTGGGTGGTAATTCTTCTAGTGGCGCGTGGCTTTTGGGCACAGATTCCCGGGTACCAAATGTCAGTAGGTGCTGACGGTATAATCTGGAATATTTTAAGCTTCCACGTTAATCAATCGTCACTATCCCAAGATGTTCACATTCTTTACGTTGAACAAACCCGTGTAAAACCGTGGTAGAGCCACGCTACAGCTATATTATGGTTGCAGCAGGAATGAGTTCGCTCGACCGGGCAAGGACCACAATCTCACAGAATACCAGCATGAAATAGCAGCGTAATGCTGCTGTGTTTCGTATGATGAGTGTAGAGAACCGTGGACCCCTTTTACTGAAAACGAGACATTCCATCTTAGTCCGCATTTTGAATCATAATCGAATATAGATGTTTAAGGGGTACAGTATCCACTTACCATTAGGTGTGACTGTGTGCTGGTTTTTAACCATTATTCTAACAAAACCCTAAACTCTAATGGTGTTGAAGACACAAGTATATTAACCCAGTATACCAAGGAGTCAAAGCCAACAACGTTTGTAATACAGAATTAAAGGCGCTTAAAAAGATTGCTTTTGGCCCTTACTGTTGGCAGTACGATAAGGCTAAGATAAAGGATAAAATCGCCCAGCAAACTATGGAGGGCTATGCTCGAAGTTTCTCTGCGTGATAGAATCGGTAACGATAACATCCACAGCAGAACTAGAGTAACCGACGCAGCCTAATAGATCAGCAAGTTGAAGCGCATTGTTTATTGTAATTTTTAGCGCTGATTTACCATGTGCTCGGTGGTGAAGGAGAACAGCGTGAGGAAACCTGTAAGTCAAGGTAATAGAATTCACGTTCAATTTTGATGCCTCGCTTGGAAGCTTACGTCAAGGCCCGTTTTTTCCCCATCTTGTTGCTAGTAACTTCGAAGTTTGCTACCAGTCTGATATTAAAGTACAAGGTAAAGTAACAGCCTACATTCTTCCCACTGCTTTAGTTTACTACCATTTCTGTGAGCATATTTGGGAAAGAAAAAGTATGCTGAGTTGCCCCAGTACGTGTTAGACTTCACAGATCATGAAATATTTTTTTTAATTTATCAAGTTGTACAGGTGTTTGTGAGGTCGAACTAACGATATTTTCATTCACCGCCGAGAGCGTGTAAATTATTTTTCATTGGTGTCAGCGGGATCGAACTCGGCCACCACTGCCAGATTAATCACGTTTATATTATGTTTTGTGCACACAGTGTTATGAAGCTGTCTCTAAGTTATAGAGAATTGAAATATAATTCGAAAATACTCACTGCTAAAATAAAGCATGTTATCCGGCTCAACGGACTATTTTGCCAAACACTTTAAAAAGTCAATATTTTTACTAACAGAAAAGCTATTCTAAATTTTACCATATAATTATTCTAATTAGAATTGATTTTATGTAAAACTATACACATTTACGACGCGAAAGATGTACAAAGGAAATAGCAAGTGTATCGCTAATTTTAAGATTCATCAAAGAGGTTTACTTACCGGTGCGCCTTTAACACGTTTAACCAAGTGCGAAATACTTCAGGTGTTTTCGCTCTTAAATGGTAGATAAACTCGTCGGCATCTATGTCTATGCGTCGTCGTCGCGCCTTAGCCGAGATCACAGAGAGACCGACGTCCACTGAACCGTTAAGACGCCCTCGAGCAACATCGGAGGGCGACCGCGCATATACTAAGATACCGCCATCCACTACGAAGAAACGCTGAAATGGAGCATTATTTTTAGGATGTTTTTTTTTAAAGAATTAGTGTAACAAAGGAGTACACAGTGCCCTGATGGTAAGTGAATGCTGTGGTCCATAGACATTTGTATTTATCCCCAATTAAGAATCACAATGCAGATATGTTGTCACTAGACTTGCAACGAACTTGCAACGACTATTACGAGGGCGGCACTGAAAATTTCGGGAATCAAGGAAGTGACACAACATTACTATTTAAAAATGTATTTATTGCTTTTCGAAGTATTCTCCGCGAAATATGACACATTTTTCCATACGATGAACCAATCATTGAAGCAACCATTCCATTCGGAAGTTGGGGTCTCCAAAATGGCCGTTTTGTAGGCGTCCACAGCTTCTTCAGGTGATGAAAATCTCTGTCCACGCAATTTATTCTTTATTTTAGGGAAAGTATAGAAATCATTAGGGCTTAGGTCGGGGCTGTACGGCGGATGGTCTAATAATTCTATGTTTTCTTGCTCTAAAAACTCTTTTGTTCTGTGTGTGGTGTGAGAACTCGCATTGTCGTGATGGAGGATGATGCGGCGGTTGCAGTTCTCTTTACGGAGTTGAGAAACGACCTGTGGCAAACAAATGCTAGCATACCATTCTGCATTAACCGTTCTTTATCCCTCAAGAGGAATAGTCGTAACATGGCCGGTTTTGAAGACAAACGTGGCCACCATTTTTTTTGCAACACTCCGTGAACGAACAATTTTTGTTGGCTTTAACTCATTTTCGAACACCCAAACTCGTGACTGGTTTTTTGTTTCGGGTTCGTTTGCGTATATCCAGGATTCGTCACCTGATACGATGTTGTATACAGCATTTGAGGATCCTGCGTGGAATATTTCAAGAGTTCTGACGCATGAAGTAACGTGAGCCGCTTTTTGCTCTTCACAGAGCGAATGCGGTATCCATCGGGAAAACAACTTTTTTACACATAATTGTTCATGCAAGATTATTTGTATTTGACCCATGCCAATGTCTAAAGTTGCCTGAATTTTGCGGTATGTCACATGTCGATCTTCCTCAATCAGCTTACGCACAGCATCAACGTTTTCTCGGGTGACTGCAGTTTTTGGACGACCTTGACGGGGATCATCACTGAGCTTGACACGTCCACGTTGAAATTCAGCAAACCAGTGATAAATTGTGGTTTTGGATGGGGCTTCATCACCAAATGCAGAAATCATCCGGTTATCACACTGTTTTTGTGTTAAAACCACTTCGAAAGTCATAATAAATAATCGCTCTTGAATTTTCTCGAGTCAATTCCATTTTCTCAACGACTAAACAAGTTTGATAAAACCTTGCGGCAAGACCGAGTATCTTTTTTTAAATAAATAATGGTATTCGATTTTTAAAACCAAGAAGTTTTCAATTAAAAAGATTTTAATATGACAAGAACAGTGGAAATATTCTATTTCCGATACTTTTAGTGCAGCCCTCGTATCAGTATTAGGCCTAATCGGCTACTTTTATTATATTCGGTCGAACACCGAATATCTAGGTACTATTCGGCCGAATAGCGGATACTTAAGTAAGAGGTTTTATTGTAGTCAGATAGTAGGTAAAATATTTATTTATTTTATAATTAATTTTTTCTTTTAATCATTAATACTTAAATCATAGGTACATAATCAACTTCGATGATATAAAAAAAGAACTATCAGTGTGTAGATAATGGTGCAGAAAAACTAGTTTCTACATTTGCAGGCAGTAGTTTACTCCTTTTCTTCTCGTAGACAATCACAACTTCAGAGAATAGACGCTCTGAAGAATAAACACGACTTCCCTGCCGAATACTTTTGCCTGGCTATTTTCGGCCAGGAAGTTCGTAGAACATTCGGTATTCGGCGTGTGGTTGAATATAGTATTCGTTGCAAGTCTAGTTGTCACGCTTGAGGACTAAGATGGAACACTCACCTTACGAAACACAGCAGTTTTAAGCTGCTATTTTACACTGGTGTTCTGTAAGAGCGTGGTCCTACCCCGGTCGAGCCGACCCATTCGTGCTATAACCATAATTTAACTGCAGCGTGGCTACAAAGTGTATATAGTGCAACTGTGTAGGCAAATGAAGTGGTTTTATTTATTTTTATTCTTTATTGCACCAAATATTTGTACAAAAGGCGAGCTTAATGCTATATGGCATTCTCTACCAGCTAACCTTGGGTAGAACGGAGAGTGAGTTTGGGCAACTTGTTACGAAATTCAATTCAAATATATACATGCAAAACATACATAAAATATACACATATAAATAATTTATATATAATATATACACATATATGAATAAATATACATATTATACATATATATCTCAATAAGTGTATATATAAATACCTATAAACATATAAAATAATTAGACTCAACTTATAGGCTACGGATATGCTCGTATAATTTTCTTTTAAAACATTTTTGGTAGGTATTTTTCGCAGATCAACAGGCAATTTGTTCCAGAGGGAGATGGAAGTAACTGTGAAGGAATTTGACATTAACCCAGTATGGTGGAGAAGAGTAGACAGAGGCTTTAGTCGACAATTATCGTCTAAATCCGACTGAGAGGAATGGTCGTATTCGATAGATGTTGGATATAAATGATTACGCATTTTATGTTCGTAACAGATATAAAATGATGTTCTCCTGATCGATTTTCGATCGCAGCGTCAATTTTGTAATAATGATATGCTATTAACTGCGAAAGAGAATATTACGTTTACGCGTACTTATGCGTAATTTACGCATAAGTGTGCGCGCAAACGTACAAAGCCTGGCAGTTCCTTGAGTTGTTTGTTATTGTTTTTAATTTATTTTTACTTCTCGACGTTTCAAGTGCTTTACAGCACCCATGGGGTATGGTGACTGAGGTATTGCATGCCTTAAGCGCGAAGCGCGTAGGTATGTTCTATTAGCGCCTAAAAATTAAGATTCCAACGTTTTCTGGCATGAAATCGTATCTAGCAATCATATTATACATATAAATGATATATATTAATTTTTGGTCAGATCTACGCTGAAAACATATTTGGCATCGCCCTTCTCTTTCCTTTCACTGTCCCACAGCCTCATTCTGCAGGATTATTTACTAACCTTGTGCCAACCCTTGAGGGGCCACTTCCTCTTCTTGTGCAGGTAACCATTGAACACCTCGGGCCTTTTGTCGAAACGCTGGCCATCTTTTAGTCCTTCGAGCACCTCCCACTCGCTGCCGCGCCGTCGGCTGCTACGTAGGTTGTAAAAAACATTTAATTTTATTAAGTCTTCAAACAACAAAGGTAGTCTACAAAATATTTATTTTTTATTTATCTGATAACACCGTGTGTGTGAGTGCGTGCGTGCGTGCGTACGCGGGCGCGCGCGCGCGCGCTTGTGTGTGTGTGTGTGTGTGTGTGTGTGCGCGCGCGTGTGTATGTGTGACTTAAGACTTGCGGCCTTGCTTATAGCCGTTCATCATCGCTTACTTAAATTACTTACTGTTGACAGCTGTCAGACTTATTGCACTAGGCATGCCAACCAAAAAATCGGTACGTAAGTACAATATTCGATTCTTTAGAAAAATCGATATCGATCGAATCGATATTCTTTAGAGTTGGTAATCATTTAGTTTTTATTCGATTAATACCAGAATAAATTAGAAATAATTTAAAACACAAGATTTATCAGTTTCTTCGTATTTATTATTACTGCTTATTTCTAGAGGCAAAGTTGTATAAATTAGAATTTTGAAATTAGATTAAAAATAAATTTATTCAGTCACTTTCACTACAACTAGTTGAGCTGTCGTTGTTTAGATTAATTATTATTTGATTTTCAATAATGTAGCCAAAATTAATGTCTCTTTAAAAGTCATCCATAATAATTTTCTCCATCACTTTTGCCCGATTATCCTTTGTGACGTGAGTACATGCTTCATTCAGCAAAACTTCAATTTTTTTTTCACAAAGCATAAGATATTTTCATGTCGTGTGTGTTTAAGTAGAGTTTATAATATATTTGCATTAGTAACATTTCATATAAGAACTAGCCTTTGATATTCGCAGGAATATTTTATAAAAGGCTATCTATCTAGCTGTCCCTCGCGACTTCGTTCGCGTGGAATTTACTAAGATTTCATGGGTTTTAATTTTTTGCGCGGAACCCTGATTCTTTTTCTAAAATAAAAGTATCCTAAATTACTCCTTATAATATCAGCTAGATGCCAGTGAAAGTCCCGTCAAAATAGGTCCAGCCGTTACGGAAATTAGCCGGAACTAACAGACACGGACAGACAGACAGATAAAAATTTTAAAAATTGTTTTTTTGTTATTATTACCGTATATACTTTTATATGCATTTAGTTAAAAGCTGTTATTTTAACATTACAAAACAGACACTTCAATTTTATTTATTTGTATAGATTATAAACCACTCTTTGAATGTTTCTGTATTTATTTCCTCATCGTATTCTCTTGTACTCTTTTATTGGAAAGCTAATAAACAATTTTCAACAAATCCTCCTCCGGTTCACTTTTTCCCCACGGGTATCCTCGAGCAAAATGCTGCAGTGTCATCGTTTCGAATTCGAATATGACGTTGTCCCAATTGGTTATATTTTTCATTAATAATTTTGTGTTTATCAATATTTTTTGTATCGGAATCGCATTCGTTTTAAAACAGTTCTCAAAGACTATACTACCATTGTTTAAATCGCCATCTACTAAACTTTCTTGCAACTAAGCTGCAGTATGATATTCTTATTTACATAATATCATAAATAATAATGTTATATATTATTGTGTATGATATTTCAGTATACATAACTTGCCAAGGTCAACGAATATAGAAAATAAGACAAACACAATCACAAAAATACGCATAGTAAACTTCCAAAATGACGGGAGATGGAAATACGTTGTTCTTTTCAGCGCGGCTTTGGATATGAGTTTCTTTGCCTACACAAATTTACACTGACAAAGTATGAAAATATAAAATAAATAAACTTGTTTTATTCATGATTCATATAATTTCAGCAATTCAAAAAAATAAAATTTATATAAACAAATAATAAATTAAAACATTTCAAGATTCGATTAATTGAACATTTTTACCGATTATTTGAATATTTTTACCGATTATTCGCATAACAATGAATTCTAATCATTCAAACACTACGACAAGGTACTCGTACATAACGACATATCATTGAAACAACGTCAGGCAAAAAAGTTGGCTGTGGTAATTTTTTTATATTTTGTTTTTTTTTTTAAGCATTCGAAATTAAATTAGTGATAAAGAACTATACATGTTGTAATGACATATAGATAACTCCATAGTTCTTTGGATTTACGTAAAAGTTTATTTTAATTCGTGTGAGTACGCTTGTACAAAGTTATTGCGGGATGATTAAGATGAAACGTCCAAAGGTATTTCTTAGATTTGGTTGAGTATAATATGCCCGTCCCTTCCCATGTCATTTAGTGAAAAGAGAGAGAGAGTGAGTGAGAGAGAGAGAGAGAGAGAGAGAGAGGGAGAGAGAGAGAGGGAGAGGGAGAGAGAGAGAGAGAGAGAAAGAGGCACTTTAAGCATTTCTAAAATTAACGTCGATTATTGAGTAAGGCCGTAGTGTCTAGAAAATCATGAGCCGTGTTATAGACTTGTCACTTGTCAGTGAAGTCACAAGGTTCCAACTGAAAACGAGGGCAGTCTTTGCAGCATTATGCCGAATTGGAGACCTGATCTGATGTCACATTTTTTGTGTTAATTAATTATGTGCGTGAACTGCTTCTTAATTGTTAATGCGTAAGTAGTCTTAGACTGGTGCATGCATATTTTTACCCCTTGCGTTTGTATATATTTTGAAATGTGTGTATCAAATAAATAGTTAGGTTTTAAAATAATTATTCTGTAAAGACATTACAAAATTTCACTTATAAGACAACTTAAATCTATTTAACCTAACTAGGTTGTGCAGTGAGCATGCATATTTACAAAAGACATTACATTTTGCGGCATTACTTCTAAGATATATTTGTTAATGATTGTTAGGAAATTAATAAAAAAACTCAAATTCTATTTTCTATTACATATAGTTTAACCCTTTCGCTGTCAGGTGCACTACATATAGGTAATTGCTATTGTCTTACATATTATATCTGATATATATGATATATGATACATAGGTATATTGTGTCTGAAAACCGGACAGTGAAAGTGTTAAGCTTATTTTAGTAACAATTGTCAGATTCAATATCTATACGGATATAGCCTTATACGGAGCTAAATTATATATAATTTAGCTATATATATATACTTTAGCTACTCCATACTTTAGATTTCTATTTCCATATTAGGTTCTGGATATAGGGATAAAATAAATAAAGTTATTTTTTCTCTCTCACTCACTCACTCTCTCTCTCTCTCTCTCTCTCTCTCTCTGTGTGTGTGTTTGTGTGTGTGTGTGTGTGTGTGTGCTGACTTACCTCCGCGACTTGGTCTGCCTGGTAGTGGGCGGTGGAACTCTCGGCGCACGCTCCGCACTGTCGGCCGACAGGGAGGCCGTCTCGCCCGAACAGTCCGAGTCTGATGGCGCTCGACGCAATGCAGCGGCCCTACCACCAGCTCGACGACGCGACCCTGCAACATACATAATTTAAAGTGAAAACTATTATAGTAACGTAGTTCTGCAGCTATATTGCGGTTGTAACAGGAATGAGTCGGCTCGACCGGGGAAGGACCACGCTCTCACAGAATACCAACGTACAATAGCAGCTTTATGCTGCTGTGTTTCGTATGGTGAGTGTAGAGAACCAGAGACTCTTTTTACTGGAAAAGAGGCATTCCACCTTAGTTCTCACGGCTGGCAACGCATCTGCATTTTGATTCGCAAACGAGGAATACATATAGATATCTATGGGCCACAGCAACGGCTTACCACCAGGTGGGAGCTCGTTTGTCACCCCCAGTCTTAAAAAAATACTTTGCTCCATGACACTCTGTAGAGCCTATGTAGAGAATATAAATCACATTTTTAAAATCTACTCATGTTTACATTTTCGTAAATATATTGAGAGGTCAAAGTTTAATATACTAATTTCCTTTAATGTTTGTCTAAGAGATTCTTAGTTTCTTTAGGAGTAAGCGTGACAAACGAGTATACAATTCAACTGATGGTAAGTGCTAAAACATAAATTGCTCTTATGACCCTCTTCCGACATTATGCTTTCGATCAAGATTGAACATAAACCTCTCGAAAGTTAAGTACAGATCCGTCAACCTTGTTGCGGCACGGTTGTTGTGATTGAAAGTTAAGCCGGCTAAACATGTTGGCCATAGGTTGCCAAGCGAAGGCGAGTACCAACGTAAAGACAGCCCATTTCTTTCACCTCACCATTCGGCGTGCCTTGCCACTCGAAATCGCTCGACACGACTAGTCTCACTTCGGAACAGTGTCATTTTTTCTGCACAAATCAAAACCTATATTATATTGAGAATTGCTCAATAGAAGCTGATTACGGCCAACATGTGGATAGCTCCACTAAATGAACATTAGCAGTTAGAATTGGTCCCTTTAAAATTTGACCGGCTTTAGGCTGGCAATACATGTTGGCCAAGCCTCAACCAACTCGAGTGTAGGCAAATTGATACAAGACGATTGCTACAGTCTACATGTTGGCCAAGTTCGAATGAGTGAACATACTGACATGGCCAACTAACAAGTGGACACGACTTGCCGAGTGCAGACGGACGCCTTTGATTTGTGCAGAAAAACCGACACTGTTCCGAAATTAGACGAGTGGCGATCCGGAGTGGTGGCAAGGCACGCCAAACGAACCGTATACAAGTTAGCGTTCGGCTACACTCGGTCAGTGGCGAAAAACGAGCAATGGCGCGGCCAGACAAATGTCCATAATATGTTGGTACTCGCATTCGCTCGTTGAGCTATGGCCAACATGTATAGCCGGCATTAGACAGTAGATGTCTATGGGCCATAGCAATCACATACCATCAGGTGGACTGTGTGTTCGCTTGTCACCCTATCCTATAAAAAAAAGCAATCGCCTTGTATCCATCTGCCTGAGCGCACGTGTTGGCTGAGGCTTGGCCAACATGTATTGCGGGCTTTACGATAATAGACTATAATATAACAAACCTTAAAATTGTCATCTGCAAAGCTAAATTTATGCAAATGCAGGATATGCACCAAAAGCGCGGATAATCGATATTATTCGGCCCGAGCGAATAATGTATTCAGCGCATGCGAAATTTCATTGTCAGTTCGACAGTTAGCACTGAGCGAAACTGGTGCTGAATGTGATAAAGTTAGGCCACTGACAAACAATACCGAAATATTCCGAATAAGTTTTTTTTTTATATAAAAGTTAAGTGACAAACGAACTAACAATCCACCTGATGGTGGCTACTGCAGTCTATGGACATCTGCAACTAACTTCAAGCATAATTAAAAATTAAAAATGTTGTACAACCGACTTCAATATAAATTATTAAGAATACCTCAAAAACCTTGGTCACCTCAAAAAGGTCAGACCTTGATCAAATTTATATGGGACCACATGTGAAGCACTAGCATTAAAATAAAAAAGAATCATCGAAATCGGTTCACCCAGAAAAAGTTATGATGAGGTAACATACATAAAAAAAAGAAAAAAAATACAGTCGAATTGAGTACTGTCTCCTTTTTGAAGTCAAAATCTAGATTAATGTTGTTGCAAGTTTATCGTTCAATGTTATATTAGTCATATTGATCAAAGATATAATTTATGATTTTCATTATATCATTACAGCTTTTCAGAAGTCCACAGCTGATCCACCACCACCACAAAACACTGTCTAAATAATCTTTATCAGCAAAACAGACAAACCAAAGCACCCCGATACACACTGGTGTGACCTCATCCTTAAATCGTGTGCGGCATTGAGTCAGACTTCAATTGAATGCTAACGTTTGCGCAATTATCAGTCATCGTGCATAGTAATTAGGTATAATTTCCTTAATTCGCTACCGTTATCCTGATGATTCGCTTTCAGTAGGTACCTTTCTTTACAAAAGCAGAATAGAAAAAGGAACCTTGTTAATTCTTGATGTATCGTATATATAAGGCCCTATGGTCAGCGTTACTAGTCAATTCGAGTTTGAAATCAAAACCGTAGTCAACTATGATAAAACATTAATTATTAGTAAGGCTCTATTACCAACCTTAAATATTTTAAAGAAAAACTGAATAAATGTATACATGGTTGATAATAACCTCTGGGAATGAGTTGGTCGCTTTCAAGCTGTTTCCTAAATAAATTTTGTATATAGTTTATACAAGCTTTCTAATTGTTTAATTAAGTTAAAAAAAACGAACCCCTGGGTTTCTTGCTGGTTTTTTCCAACAGAGCCTTTTTTCTGAACAGTGGTAAAAGCACAAAAATACTTTCTATAAGTATTACATGTAATCTTTTTTTACAGGATCGGGTGACAAACGAGGACACAGTTAACCTGATGGTAAGTGGTTGCTGTGATCCATAGACATCTACATCATTCCTCAATAAAAAAAATTAAATATATATGCGTTGTCACCCGTGAGGACTAAGATGGAATGCCTCTTTTCCAGTAAAAAGGGTCTCCGGTTCTCTACACTCCCCATACGAAACACAGCAGCGTTAAGCTGCTATTTTACGCCGGTATTCAGTGCGAGCGTGGTCCTTCCCCGGCCGAGCCGACCCATTCGTGCTACAACTACACCACTAATAAAGCTGCAGCATGTCTCTACCCCGATAACTCTATCTATATCGAATAAAACATTATTCTATTCTATTTGTATTCTGATAAGATAGCATTTATATTTTATTAATAGCTGTCCTCCGCGACTTCGCCCGCGTGTAATTTAGGGTTTTAATTATGTTGCGCGGAACCATAATTATTTTTCTCAAATGTAAGTAGCCTAAGTTACTCCTTATGACATCAGCTATCTGCTGGTGAAAGTCCAGTCGAAATCGGTCCAGCCGTTTCGGAGATTAGCCGGAACAAACAGACAGAAAGACCGACAAAAATTTAAAAAAATTTTATTTAGCATTTAATAAAAAGCTGTTATTTTGACATTACAAACAGACACTTCAATTTTATTTATTTGTGTAGAATAGATTTTCGCCTTTCGTGCCACTGGCTTTTAGCCGTCGTAACTAAGTTTTTTTTAATTTCACAGTACGTGAGCAACCCGGGTTCGATCCCCGCCGGCACCAATGAAACTGTTAATTGCAATTTCAAATGCTAATTTATTACGTGCTCGGCGGTGTAAACATCGTGAGGAACGTGTGAGGAATATAATATTTCGAGGCCATGTGAAGACTGGCAACACACACTGGAGCCGCGCGGAGGACTTATGGCTCCATAATCATTTCATTGAGAGGCCTGTGTGCCAGTAGTTGAATGTATATAGGCTGAAACTTATATTTTATACCAATTCTTAATACTATATCTAGCCTATAGGTTAACCTCCAAAGAGTTCGACGGCTCCATGGCGCAGTGGCTTAGCAATGAGTTGCAGCGCTAAGGGCCGCGGGTTCGAATCCCGCACGGAACAAGTATTTGTATGGCCTAAAAATAATTGTTCCGGGTCTGGATATTTGTCCTTGTGAAATTTATGTAAGAAGTATGTTCAAAAAGTATCGCAAATTTTGAATTTCCGCGGGCTATGTATATTTAATTTTTGATTTTTTTGTAGCCTTATGTTGGTACTCATGTCCCTTACTTATGCTGACAAGGTCGGCCATTTTGAATGTTTAATTAATTTTTGACAGCTGTTTTGCTTGGATGTGTTTTGGCGCGTCTTTGATTTTTGCCTATTCCAAAAAATGGATCAAAGAATCTGTATTAAATTTTGCGTGAAAAACAAAATAAAGTGCGCGGACGCATTCCGAATGTTGACTGTGGCATATGGTGAAGCTACCTTGGACCAAAGCAACGTTTAGCGGTGTTACAAAATGTTCTCAGAGGGCCGAGAAGATGTGAACGACGAACAGCGTGCCGGACGCCCGAGCACATCAACAACATACGATAACATTGATAAAGTAAAGAAAATATTATTGGCTAATCGTCGAATCACATATCATAAACATATCGATTGGCTCGTGCCATTCGATTGCAAGTAATGATTTCGGCATGAGTCAAAGACGCCGTGAAATTCGTGCCAAAATTGCTCAATTTCGACCAAAAACAGCATCGCGTTAACATTGCTCAGGAGATGTTGGACAAGGTCCTTGACTACCCAAATGTGCTTCAGAGGGTCATAACTGGCGACGAATCATGGGTTTATGGTTATGACGTGGAAACCAAAGCTCAACCATACTAATGGAAGCTGCCGCATGAGCCAAGACAGAAAAAAGTGCGCCAAGTTCGGTCGAACGTGAAGGTTTTGCTCACAGTTTTCTTCGATTGCAGGGGCGTGGTGCATCATGATTTCTTGCCATAGGGTAGTACGGTCAATAAGGAATATTACCTGCAAGTTATGCGCAATTTTCGCGAAGTAATCCGCCAGAAACGCCCGGATTTGTGGAATAACAAAAACTGGCTTTTGCAACATGATACTGCTGCTCACACATCGTTGCTTATGCGCGAATATTTATCCAAAAACAACACGGTAATAGTCCCACAGCCACCGTATTTTCAAGACCTGGCCCCCTGTGACCTTTTCCTGTTCCCCAAGCTGAAGAGGCCCATGAAAGGACGACGCTATGCCACGATTGAGGAGATAAAGACGGCATCGAAGGAGGAGCTGAAGAAGATCACTAAAAATGTTTTTTTTTAAGTGCTTCGAGGATTGGAAAAAACGTTAAAGCACAAGTGCATTATATCCGAGGGGGATTACTTTGAAGGAGACAAAATAGATATCCATGAATAAATAAATATTTTTTGAAAAAATACAAAATTCGCGATACTTTTTGAACAGACCTCGTATGTAATACTCTGCGATACAGGAGAAAATCCTAGTGTGGAGGTACCGTTTTTAGAAGAAAAAAAAACTGGCCAATTGCGTGTCGTGACTGTCGTGTTACAATACGTGAGCTTTCTTGATAATGAGCAATGAGTAAATTCGTGGTTTGATCGTTAGAACGACTAAAAATGGGCCCAAATAGAAAGATCGTATACGAAGGGCTTATTTTCAAATCAGTCTTATAGGGAGTGGTATTCAAAAAATCTATACAAATAAAATTGAAGTGTCTGTTTGTAATGTCAAAATTACAGCTTTTTACTAAATGCATATGACTGTATATACGGTACTAATAACAAAAATACAATTTTTAAAGTTTTTGTCTGTCTGCCTGTCTGTTTGTTCCGGCTAATCTCCGAAACGGCTGGACCGATTTTGACAGGATTTTCACTGGCAAATAGCTGATGTCACAAGGAGTAACTTAGGCTACTTTTATTTTTGAACAAGAATTAGGGTTCCGCGCAAAAAATTAAAAAAATTAAATTAAAACCCCAAATAACACACGAGCGAAGTCGCGAGGAATAGCTAGTATTTAAATATAATATTTGAGAGAATCTACATCTAATAAAAAATACACAATACACAAATATTTCTCAAACGCACCCGTAAATCGAAGATATTGTGACGAGCTTGGGGTTCGAGACAATTAAAAACTGCCGATTGAGTTACCAAAATTGACACTTTAATTATAAAACACAAATTACAACTTAAAACCACACTAATAATAAAACGCAATTGTACTACTGATCACTTTAATTCGCAGTTATTTCGCTTCGAAGTATTCGTTTATATCGCCAATTCAATACTGACTCGGTCGTGCTCTATACCGGCTTTATATAGGGCCTCAGATAGTTTCCAGAACCTTCTACTGTAAAAACATCTAGAATGTTCGAGTACATATCGGTCCCGAAATTTCTAGAAGGATTTTGACTCTTCTAGTTCTGCTACTCGATACTAGAGGGCGCTAGTGGTAACTAGTGTTGCCATGTACAACACATTATTAGTGGCGCGCAACAATATGTTGTTCCACACCCCCAGTGTTTTTGAAAGACCTATCCAACTATACTTCACGTGATGAAATTGACGGGTTAAAAAAATCATCCTCCTTTTACTTGTTTGGGAAGTACCCACAATAAAAATGTTTTAAAGATTTTATTTCACAGTATTTGTAAAACAGCAAAACCACGGACGGACGTAAGAACTGACATGGCGAAGCTATAAGGGTTCCTTGTTGTATAACTACGGAACCCTAGAAGAGGTGATGAGTTCACAATAGAATAGATAAGAATAGAATGATTTTTTGTTGAATATTGATTATTTCATAATACTTATTGAAAGTCATTTTTTTATTTACTACTGCCAGCAAGAAACCGAGCGGGACTTTTTTAAAACATATTTCACTTTACAATAATGTTGTTTGTATAATTTTTAAATGAATTTTCACAGAACCAGCATAGTGCCGATCACCTCATTCCCAGGGGTTATTTTCATTCATGTATTCCTTGACATTATAATAACCCGTTTTGGTACAATTTTTCTTTAATAAAACTTTTAAACATGTTTATTGATAAAGTTTGAACATGTTCTGGGATTTCTGTTGTAAAAGCGTATACATTGCTCCATAAATGAATCACTAATTCTGTGGAATCTAGTAACTGCCACTACAAGCTTATGTTTGTTACTAGTGATTTCTTATATTTACGCGAACACTACACATTGAATAAAACTATTTTTACGGATTTTATCGCGTTTAATTAACTTACTTTATATTCCCGACGTTTCGTGTGTTAGTCATTCGAAATCCTAATAATACCGTAGGTCACACTGTGTATAGAAAAAAGACCCATACAAACCGATACTTAAACGGTGAATCCCACCATCACCCTTCACAGTTAGCTACCGTGGGCAAATCTTTGTTGCAGAGAGCACGAGGGATCTGTGACAGCAAACACCTGGCCGCCGAGCTTCAGCACGTCAAGCAGGTTCTGCACGACAACAAGCTTCGGGTTCCGCGCCTACGTCACAGTGACCGAGTGAAGCCGGCCACAGTCGAGCGTGTGCCTGCTGTACTACCATATGTCAGAGGTGTCACAGACAAGATTGGCTACATCTTGAAGCGAGCTTCTATTAGAACATTCTTCAAGCCGCCGAAGAAGATTAGTCAGTTCTTACCATCCGTCAAGTGCAATATTCCTCTACAAGATGCAGGAGTATACAAGCTTGATTGTGAGTGTGGTCTCTCATATATAGGGCAAACAAAACGATCAATAAAAACCCGCGTAAAAGAACACATAGCTGACGTGAAGCACCAACGTTCCGGGAAGTCTGCAGTTTGTGATCATATCCTAGACGGCTCCCGCCATTACATTAGATTTGATAAACCACAAGTCCTCGCGAAAGAACATCGATTCCTGCCAAGGATGATACGTGAGGCTATTGAAATTAAAAAACATCCTAATTTCAATAAAGAGGTAGGCTGGGTACTACCACCTGCTTGGGATCCTGTAATTCATAAAATTAAAACTAAACCCAAGCATACCACTGCAAGACTTCAAGACACAGTTAGTTCATTCTGCGTAGATCGGACCAAAATTAATAATTAAAAAGCTGAAGGTACTCCGGGTTAACTTTGACATCGGGACGTCAATCACCTCAGTCCCCCGTGACCACGGTTGCTGGAAAGCAACCGAAACGTCGGGAATATAAAATAAGTTAATTAAACGCGATAAAATCCGTAAAAATAGTTTTATTCAATTTGTTACTAGTGTTTAAAGTGTGATCATCTTTATTCTAACTAAAACTATTTAGTATTTATGTTTTTATGTACATACATTACGTTCTCATAAATATATTGCGATGCCAAAGTTAATATGTTTATTTCTTTGTATTTTGCTCTGAGGGACTCTTTACAATTTAAATAATAAATCGCTGGTACGGCTCCCTTTTGCAAAACAAATATAGCTTCGATGTCACACATTACCCCATAGCAAAATTCCATAAGACATTACGCTATGAAAGTAACTAAAATAAACTAATCTGGTCGTCTCAACATCTGTGAGACTTCTAATTTTTGTTCTAGTATTTCTTGCTGCAGAACTAAGGCTGAGATCTATAGATCGTACTTTGACTTTGCTCAGACTTAGCTTACGACAAACTTAGCTGAGTATATGCTCAGAATAATCTTTGATACTGAATTTATAGTTGTATCGGGCTAAGATTAAGCTAAGCTTATGCTAAGGCCCAGACAGTCCAAATATTAATGGATGCTTCATTCCACGCATTATGTTTTTGACTTTACTGTATAAAATTAATATATATATATATACATTTAAAATCGATAAAAGTTCAAATTGTATTTCATAAATTATTTATTATTACATGAAATAGAAAACGGTCCTATGAGAACGAGAACTGATGAGATGAGTGCAGTCAGAAAAAAAGAAAAAATAAGATTTTAAGAAATTCGAAATAAGATTAAAATTACGTAAATAGAAAATGGATTAATGCTATTTAAAACTAGAGACGGCCTAAATCTACCTATTTATTGTTTTAATTAACTAGAGTAACATAAAAACAATAATTTAAAATTAATACGGTGGTTTTGAATAATATACTGAGTTTTACGTAAGTCGTCGATATCGTTGACTTAGGCTTTGCTAAGCGCGCACTCAGCACGACTTTTAAGTTAACTTTATAAATACCGTCAATGTCTTATCTCGAAAGTAAAGTCTGAGCAAAGTCAAAGTACGTTCTATAGATCTCAGCCTTAGTCTGCTTGCTACATATATTATGGGGGCCCCATTGAAGCTTCGCGTCATATATATTATAGCCAATACCTTCTAAATGAGAATACTGCTGCTCCGTCTCTAGGAGACTTGTGCTCAGCAGTGGGACGTTTAAAGACTTGTGAGTGCGTATTAGCATGTCGTTTGTGTGCGATTGTGTGCATGAAAACAACTCACGTTTACTCTCGAGCTGGGTCGGTTCGGCCGGCACATGCTTCAGCCCCGTCTGATTCGACATCTCTTTGCCACTACAGTGTCTCAGCATCCATCTTATCTCGTCTGTAACAAATAGAATAATATTATTGCACTTCCTATAGTTGTATGTGCGCAAACTTTGAGAGAAAATGTTTATACGTTAGTGTAAACAAATGTACATGGTACATTAGTTTTGGGGGCAAAATAAATCATGTCAATACCCAAGTAAGGTGGTTTATACATGACAGTTAATTAAAAACCACAATTTAACTTTTTTTCTAGAATAATGGTGATAAACGGGGCATACAGTCAAACTGATGCTAAGTGGATCAAAGTGTATCAGTCTAAACTTTTTACACGTTGTTTCCACTGGGGATTAAGATAAAGTGCCTTGATAGTAATAAAAACGGTCTCCGATTCTCTTAAATCACAATACGAAACACAGTAGTCGCATTAAGCTACCATTTTACTTTGGTATTCTGGAAGACTGGATCAGTGCGTTGCTCAAGGTCGCTCAGCAAGCTATGAAGAGGGCTATGCTCGGGGTTTCTCTGCGTGATAAACTTAGAAATGAGGATATCCGCAATTGAACCAGAGTGACCGACATAGCCCAACGGATTAGTAAGCTGAAGCTCTTGTGATCTTTTTACAGTTTTCTGCTTCCAGATAACCGATGAATTATAAATTCCGTAACAGTGATAGTAAGTTGTTATTTTTTATAAAGTCCCGCTGGGTATCTTGCTGGCTCTGCCATGAGCAGAGGTTTATTTTTCGAACCAGTAGTAATTAAACAAAAGAGTAACTTTTTATAAGTATTATTTATAATCTATGTTGAATACAACAGTTTCTGTTTCTGTTTCAGTCGCATTATCTTCTTCGTTATTGCACAGGCAACATGGGTCGCTCACGTTGTAGAGATTTATCCAAATCGCCACGCCCTTGACAAGTTTTTTTTTTAATTTTCTCCTGTATCGTGGAGTTTTACGTACATAAATTGTACAAGGATACATATTTATTTATTTATTCAAACTTTTATGCACAAAAGCAAAATCTATACAAATAAATAAAATTGAAGTGTCTTTTTGTAATGTCGAAATAACAGCTTTTTACTATATGCATTTGAAAGTACTTACAACAGTAGGTATATGTATATATATGTAATGTAATGTTATATGTAATGTAACTTATACGGTACTTATAACAAAAACACGATTTTTAAAATTTTTCTCTATCTGTCTGTTTGTTCCAGGTAATTTCCGAAACGGCTGGACGGATTTCGACCGGACTTTCACTGGCAAATAGCTGATGTTATAAGAAGTAACTTAGGACTACTTTTATTTTAAAAAAAGAATTGGGGTTCCGCGTAAAGAAATTAAAACCCATGATATACAATCGTAGTAAATTACGCGCGGGCGATTTTTCCGGACCGCTACGAGTTAGGGACCTTCAAGAAAAGAGCTTACCACCTTTTTCAAAGGCCAGCAGCGCATCTGCAATTCCCCCGGTGTTGCGGTTGTTCATGGGCGGGGAAAAGCTAGTCGTACATATGGCGGATTAATGCCTTAAGACATTTTCTCCCAGTCAACCATTAGGCTAAGCAGAGATAAACATATGGGAGGTAGTGCAGCAAAAGTAATCTAATAATGAGAATATCGAGACTCGGAACAATTATTTGTAATCAATACAAATACTAGTTCCGTGCGGGATTCGAACCCTCAGCTCTCAGCGCCGCAACTCAATGCTAAGCCGACCTAAAAGTCAGCTGAGCCACGAAACCGTCAAGTTCGACTGACAGCAATGACTTACTATTCATGTCGCTCAAATAATACACTAACTTCGTATATTGTTCTCTTGTAAACAACCATACGTTTGAAAGTTTTAGACTGACATTGTTCTGAGGCATAACGAACAAGGCGTTTGTGCTACATATCAAAGTTTACCCACTAATCGTTAAACTTGTGCATGAAATTTCATACGCGCAAACATGTTTTTTTTTATAGGATAGGTTGACAAACGAGCACACAGTCCATCTGATGGTAAGTGGCTGCAGTGGCCCATAGACATCTACATTTATCCTCGTTTGCGAATGAAAATGCAGATGCATTGCCACCCGTGATGACTAAGATGGAATGCCTCGTTTCCAGTAAAAAGGGTTTCCGGTTCTCTACACTCACCATACGAAACACATCAGTGTTAAGCTGCTATTTTACGCTGGTATACAGTGAGAGCGTGGTCCTTCCCCGGTCGAGCCGACCCATTCGTGCTACAAATATACTATTAATATAGATGCAGCATGGCTCTACCACGTACAACACGTACTACACGTGTAACATCTACATCCATCATCATCAATTATTCATTAATTCATTACTACATAACGGTAAGAAGATTGGCCATAGTTGTCACGCTTGGCGAGTTGTCAACCACAGTTATTTTATTTTCTATTATTAGGAAAATATAGCTGTCCACCTCCTGATCTCCTGGTTTGTTTTCCTCTGTCGCCTCTTACGACAACCACTGTACTATATAGCCTAGTGGATATTCATACACCCCCACTACATGGTTACGCATCATACAGTACATATTATATACGTATATACGCATCTTACCAATTTAATATAGCATTTTATTAAAAAAATGCTACAGGCCACCACTTGATCTCCTGGTTTGTTTTCCTCTGTCGCCTCTTACGAAAACCACGGTACTATATGGGGTAATGGATATTCATACATCCTCACTACATGGTTACGCATCATACATTACATATTACATACGTATATACGCATTTTACTAATTTAATATAGCATTTTATAAAAAAAAAATGCTACAGCCCATCTCCTGATCTCCTGGTTTGTTATCCGCTGTCGCCTCTTACGACAACCACGGTACTATATGGTCTAGTGGATATTCATACATCCTCACTACATGGTTACGCATCATACATTACATATTACATACGTATATACGCATTTTACTAATTTAATATAGCATTTTATAAAAAAAAATTGCTACAGCCCATCTCCTGATCTCCTGGTTTGTTATCCGCTGTCGCCTCTTACGACAACCACGGTACTATATGGTCTAGTGGATATTCATACATCCTCACTACATGGTTACGCATCATACATTACATATTACATACGTATATACGCATTTTACTAATTTAATATAGCATTTTATAAAAAAAAAATGCTACAGCCCATCTCCTGATCTCCTGGTTTGTTATCCGCTGTCGCCTCTTACGACAACCACGGTACTATATGGTCTAGTGGATATTCATACACCCTCACTACATGGTTACGCATCATACATTACATATTACATACGTATATACGCATTTTACTAATTTAATATAGCATTTTATAAAAAAAAAATGCTACAGCCCATCTCCTGATCTCCTGGTTTGTTATCCGCTGTCGCCTCTTACGACAACCACGGTACTATATGGTCTAGTGGATATTCATACACCCTCACTACATGGTTACGCATCATACATTACATATTACATACGTATATACGCATCTTACTAATTTAATATAGCATTTTATAACTAAATGTACTTTGTTTTGCAATCGTTCGATATGTTAAGCTTTACCGTTACCGTCAAAGCATATCAAAAGTCCTTTGCTGAACATAGGCCTCCTCCATAGATAGCCTTATAGGTGGGATATTTGCTATGGTTGCCTCCCGTAGCGATCGGAAAACGAGAAGACCACGCTATCACAGAATACCAGTGTAAAATAGCAGCTCAATGCTGTGTTTCGTATGGTAAGTGAACGAGAAGTGGAGACCCTTTTTACTGGAAACGAGGCATTTCATATTAGTGCTTAGGGGTGACAACGAATCAGCAATTTCATTTTTTAGTAGCGAATAAATGTAGGTGTAGGGGTGACAAAGCATCTACATTTTGATTCTTAATTGAGGTATAATGTTGATGTTTGTCACCCTTATCTTCTATCAAAACACCTAATCAATGTGCCACAAAAGCGATGAGTTCGACAGTAAGCTCGCGTGTAATATTGGCTCAAAACGAGACAAATAAATAAATGATGCCGAAATCTCTTGGCTAACAACACAGACATATATATAAAAATGTCCTTCAGACTGAATTTAGGTCACTGCGGTCAGTCTTAACGAAGACTAGCCATCTGCAGGACAGGATTATAGTGTTCGAGTGTATGTATACGCAAGCATAAATGCACACATACTCTATTCCTTCACTCTCATAGTTCGGTGGGACGGCAACACGACACGACCGGAAAGTGTTTTTTTTTATAGGATATGGTGACAAACGAACACACAGTCCACCTGATGGTAAGTGGTTGCTGTGGCCCATAGACATCTACATCTATCCTCGAATGAAAATTCAGATGCGTTGTCACCCGTGAGGACTACGATGGAATGCCTCTTTTCCAGTAAAAAGGGTTTCCGGTTCTCTACACTCACCATACGAAACACAGCAGTTTTAAGCTGCTATTTTACGCTGGTATTCTGTGAGAGCGTGGTCCTTTCCCGGTCGAGTCGACCTATTCGTGCTACAACTATACTACTAATATAGCTGCAGCATGGCTCTACCACGTATAAACGTCAGACGCAGGACCAACGGCTTTATGCGCCTTCCACGGGACCTGGGTAAAACATAGCCAATTTACTGACTCCGGGCGGCTATTGAGAATTTCTTGACAGAGAAACTTAGTATAGCTCTTTTCTTATTCACGAGTGCGGTCGGGGGTATGTCCGCTACGCCAGGCACGCACACTGTCACACTATGCATGTACATGTCCAACCACATCCAAAGATTGCGACCGCGTTCGTGAATTGCGAGAACTACCTATATCTTTTACTGAAGACGAGGCATTCCATCTTAGTCCTCAGGGGGTGACAACGCTTCTGCATTTTGATTGAGGATAGATATAGGTGCCCATGGATCACAGAATTCACTTACTATTAGGTGGAGTGTATGTTCCTTCGCCACCCTTAATCTATATAACAAAAAAAACTTTAGGCCCGTCCCGGGATCCGATGATCAAAAAAAAAAGTCGCTTTTACCACTGACCACGCAGTTAATGTAACCATAACTAATACTAATACATACCACAATGTGAATGACAGGGTGAGAAATTGTGTGATAAGAGAAAAGTGTGGTTTGCAAGATGATGTTTGACCATAATTAAGAAAGTAATGTTTTGGTGGTTTGGTCACGTAGAAAGAATGAACGAGGAAAGAGTGACAAAGCAAATTTATGTTGCAGAAGTGAACGGCAGAGTCGGGAAGGGACGCCCTAGACGAGGGTTTATCGACCAAATTAGGAATACCCTTAACCGACGAGCGTGTAACGCGTATGCAGTATGCGGCGTGTAGGAGGCGAGAGAGGTGTGTCAGGATTGTGCCAAATGAAAGTCCATAGTCTCTGTCTACCCCTCTGGGTGACAAGCGTGAGTGTTTATATGTTAATACATACCAGACAAGATTCCGAATGGATTTTTCAATTTCATAATAGTAATTTGTAATATGCAGACTCATGGACCACTTTTGATACACTACGCCGATATACAATAATAATTATAACAAACATTAGGCAGTTAGCGTTACACCGATCACATTTTTGTTAAATAAAAATAAAATACACTGATTCACTTTTAATTTTACATAATTTCATTACTTCACTGTAAACGTTTTTACTGCCTTTTATTAACAACTCCCGAGTATAATAAAATCAATTAGGAAAACCATTAGGCTGCACGAATGACTGGCTTTGACGTGTATTAAGTATTAAAAAATTGAACGTTAATAAATTGCCACGAAACTAGAGATAACAAAGACAGAACAAATCCGTAAGTAATCGTAGAAGGAACTGATGTGACGACGGTCTTATCAATGCTTGTCGATAAAATGATTCATTATCGACAAAGTTTAGTGTTTAGAAATTCAGTATATGATAGGTAAACGGTTCTTTTTAAAGTAGATCGATAAAGCAATAAGGAAATTCATTTTATCCGTGTTCTTAAACCAATTCAAAATATATTATCACAATATAATGATAATGTAATAATGTGTCATACCGTGTAGTGAAAGTGTAAGAATATCCATTATCCTATATCATCCGACATGTTGTCGTGATAGGGAACAGAATGAGATCAAACAAATCATGAGATGGATAGCCGCGTCTCTACGAATAACGAATAAAAAAATAACTGCGGTTACGAACTCGCATGCCACGTGTGGCACCTATGGCAAATATTCTCTCCCTATGAGGAAATCTACGGGGGAGGTCTATGTTGCGCGGTAGACTTTAATGGATGGATGTATAGAAGATAATCTAACAAGAGCACATTACAACTATGGCATATATCCCTATGAAGCAATCTATGGGGGAGGCCTATGTTCAGCAGTGGACTTTAATAGGCTTTAATGGATGGATGTAAAGAAGATAATCTAAATCTAAATAAATGACCAGGGGCACATGACCCACTGAGAGGTGAAATTTTCAAATCAACAGAAACATTACAACTATGGTAAATATCCCTATGAGGCAATCTATGGGGGAGGCCTATGTTCAACAGTGGATTTTTATAGGCTGTAATGGTAAGAGGCGACAATGGGAAACGCCACAAAGATTTTGTCGTTTTCGATTTAAGTTACGCCTATAGACGTCCGACGGCTGGGTCTAGGTCTGTTCTCATTAGTGTGAGAGTTATGAAGCGATTAGTCCGTCATGCTGCTCCAGCGCGAATGCTAACTTTCTCACTTTGATTTCTTTCACCGTCAAGCGCATGTGGTAATAAATCAGCACTAATTCTTTATAAATAACAGAGCGAAAAACGAGCACACAGTCCACCTGATAGTAGGTGGATGCTGTGGCCCGTAGACATTTCAATATATCCTCGATTAAGAATCAAAATGTAGATGCATTGTCACTCGTGAGGACTAAGATGCCATAATCAATGTGATACGTCAAGCGATGGAGTATTTCATCCCCTTTGTTGACGTGCCCATTGGTGGTAAAGCTCGCCCATGGTTTAACGCCGAGTGCGCTCGTGCTGAAAAGCACAAGCATATGGCGTACTTATCCTGGGTCGATGCTCGAGATCGTAAAGCTCCGGATGTTAGCCTTATGAAGAGAGCCTTTAACCAAGCCGCCAAGTCCTGTAAAAAGGCATTACGCCAAGCCAGTTTCGACCGCATAAAACGCATCGTCACAAATCTCTCTTTCAACCATCTCGCAGTAGAGCTTTTTGGTCTCTCGCCAAAGCGGTCGAGACAAACTTCTGTCGGTCTACACTGCCTCCGCTGGTAAAACCAGATGGCACATGCGCCTAAGGAGAAAGCGGACTTTTTTGCTTGCAATTCGCGTCTGGACAGTAGCAACAGCGTACTATCCCAATTACCTCACTGCGGTACCTCTATGTCAGAGGTCCGTATCACTAACAAGGAGGTTCTTAAAACCTTGCGAAGTCTAGACGTGAACAAAGCTAGTGGACCTGATGGTATACCAGCTATAGTTCTAAAGGTTTGTACACCTGCGTTGTCTCCTGTGTTGACACGCTTGTTCCGCCTCTCATTCAGGACTGGAATAGTGCCTAAATCTTGGAAGCTGGCCAATGTGCAGCCTGTGCCTAAAAAAGGTAGCCGTACCGACCCTGCCAACTATCGGCCAATTTCAATTACCTCCATACTCTGCAAGATTATGGAGCGTATATTGAACGCCCACCTCATGGCATACCTAGAGCAAAATGATCTCCTCAGTGACCGACAGTGTGGGTTTCGCCCAAATCTATCAACTGGGGACCTTCTAGCGTATGCCACTCACATATGGGACGAAGCTAGTCATATGCTATGCGGATGACACAGCCACTATATTTAATGATTTAACTGGGGACAGCGTACTCGAGACGGCTCAAAAAGGCATGGTAGTTCTATGTATTTATCGGTGTAAACGGTGTCAGTCAATGTTCTTGGTTCCTGCGATACAAGCCTAGAGCTTAGCGCAGAAACCAGTGTATTGCTTAATTACTTGTAATGTTTTTTGGTTAAATAAATACAAAATAAAAATAAATATGGGGCGAAGCCCTCGAGAACAGTGGTGAAACACTTGCTGTTTCCCTCGATGTTTCGAAGGCCTTTGACAGGGTTTGGCACGCTAGTCTATTGGGCAAGCTTTCAGCGTACGGCTTATCCCCTGGCCTGATTGCCTGGGTAAAGGACTTTTTGAGTGAACGGTGTCTCCGGGTCGTCGTTGATGGCTGCTCATCCGATACTGTGGCGACTAACGCCGGTGTTCCTCAGGGGTCCGTTCTCTCCGTAACTCTCTTCCTGGTGCATATAAATGATCTGCTCATTCCCGGTATCTATGGGTATGCAGACGACAGCACAGTTGTGGAGAGATACCAACTAAGCACCCGGGCCAGTCGGGATCAAATCCAGTCAGAAAGAGAGGCTATGGTTGAGCGTGTGAGTCTCACACTACAGGTAGTTTCCGAATGGGGCGATGTCAATCTCGTGAGATTTAACGCCTCCAAAACACAAGCGTGTCTTTTTACCGCTAAAAGGAGCCCGCTCACCTTGGCTCCTACTTTCCGGAATGTATCCTTGGAGTACACTGACCGCCTTCAGTTATTAGGGATTGAATTTTCTCCGAACCTAAACTATGGGCGGTTCATTGAGTCCAGAGCCAAAGCAGCCGCAAGGTTACTTAGTGTCCTTGCAAGGATGCTGTCACATATGGGCTGGTGCTGCAAAATGCCACCTGGCAGCAATGGACTCAGTGGAGAGACGTGCTAAGAGGCCTTGGTGACCTTGGTTTGGTTGAAACCAATCTTGTCAGCCTCGAGCACAGGCGCGGAGTAGCCAGTCTCTCGGTATTCTATAGGATGCATTTCGGTGAGAGTGCGCAGGAATTACACGCTTTAATTCCTCCCTCTCCTTTCCACTAGTGTTGCCCAAATGCAAGAACAAGACGAGACTTAGCAAGTCTTGGTCTTGGTCTTGCGCCAATACACCTGGTCTTGGTCTTGGTCTTGGTATTGCGCTCCGAGTCTTGGTCTTGGTCTTGGTCTTGCAGCAAGAGTCTCGCAAGTCTCGCAATGACCTATTAGCCTATTACTATTAATTAAACGTTACTTTAGATCTTAGAACAACTTAACAGAGTAGGTACATATTGAGCTTGAATTAACATAGCCATAGTAAAGACCAACCATATTAATATATGTCTAAACATTTAATGAGAAATTCGAAAAATCAACTGACACCGGGTGGGATTTGAACCCACGACCTAAGCGATCCGTGCCGATGCTCCAACCAACTGAGTGTCCCACGGCCACGAGCGTCAGTTTCTTAATAAACGTTTACATTTAATAAGCTTACATGTGCTAAAACATGGTTAAACATACATTTAAAAACAAATTAATGGCAATAACTACACTGTATTTTAAATAACATTATCTCTCTAGAAAGAGATTGATGGACCCTCCCCATATATGAAATGGAATAAAAGAATTATACAATATACCATTTATTTAAATAAAAAATAAAATACGATGCAAATTAAATTACTTCACAGTATGTATACAACAGCTTTGACATTACTGTTACTTTATATTTATTCTTTTGACAAAGCATTAATACAAAGTAACCATCTGGCTGACTCATCACTTAACCTATTTCTATGTTTTCTAATTACTAATGATGCTTTAGAAAATAATCTCTCAGCAGGTACTGAAGTTGCAGGTATTAAAAGAAAATCACGGGCCATCTTCGATAAAATCGGATATTTTGTCTCATGCGTCCTCCAACAGTCTAAAATGTCTTCCGAGATGACGGCTCTGGGTTTACCTAGGTACCCCTCCAACTCCTTAATAACTAAGCCTTGAAGACAAGATCCAGATCCATTATTATACATTTCAAGTGTTTTAAAAGTGCTATGGTGTCAACCATATTTATCAAATGTGTGACGACATATTCGAGCACTTTGTGTTTTAAAAACACACACTTGCAAAAGTCGAGATTTGCAGTGAACTTACTGAACATGTTTATCTTTTAGGTAATAATAATAACAATAATAGTAAGCAATTATTATAAATCCATATAGTTAATTTTATAATAATTACTTACTCGAATAAATTATTATGATACCTACCTATTATCTAATTACAAGATTTGCGAGATCAGGATAATGTATTCGTGTCCATTCTGAGCACCCGGAAACTTATTTTATTCTTTGAAACATGTACTCTGTGGCGGCAATCAAACAGTGTCAAATGTAGTGCGTGTGGTGCGGCGGCGACGATTATGCGATATCAATAGTAGCCGCCGGCACGTGTATCTTGACCTTGTACGTTCGAATAGCTGCACAATTTCTTTGACAGGTCAGTATCCGACCTTTGATGACGCCGACAACAAGACGCCGCGCACCATCAAAGTGCCGATGGTCAAAACTAGGGATGCACTCTTTTTTCTTTTAATGGATATTTTCATTCGCTATGTATATTTATGGTAT